TTAATGAAAAATGAAGAATTTGATTTAACTTTCTTAAAATTTTAATTGTATAAATTCATTTTTTTTTTAATTTCTGATTAAGATTTGAATATGCATATATGCTTTTGATTTTTTTTTAATAATATCTTTTAATATATATACTCTAAAATAAAATAAAATAAAAACATTTGATATTCTTATTTTATATATTATTTTAAAAAATAAAAAATATGTTTCACCCCATACAATACATAGCTATCACCTTCATAAGATTCTCACCTGGCTATATAAAATATGCATGAGATGACTGGTCCATCTCCTATGAAACCCTAATCCTCATCCTCACAAAGTTTAGGGCCACAATAGCCATTATCCAACCCATTGTGCCAAAAACCTCCCCCACATTCTTCTTACTTAACCAATCCTCGTCTCTTCTTCTTACTTCATGCATGACAACCATCAAAGACATGGAGGCACGAAAAAACTTTGTTCAACTGAAGAGGAAGAAAAGCTAGAAGAGTACGCATAAGTTTCATTTGGGACAACTTTCTCACTGTTTCTTAAAACAACTTTTTAGTACAAAAATTAAAAATTTACTAAAAAACTGCTTTAAAAAGCAATGCGAAAACAACCCCAAACGAAGTCATAATCACAATCACATCACAAATTGCTTGAAACGAGTGCCAAAATATCATCAATGTTATTTTCTTCCCAAGCTTCCATTTTAAATTCTACCATTTTAAGTTTGGCGCCCCGCCCATATCTCACCATATCATATGCCAAAATCCAATTTTACACGAAAAAACTTTCAAGTATAGAGTGGTATGTATGTAAATCCCCCAATTTAGGAAACGTCACACATAATCATAACCATATCCGCACAAAACATAAGCCATTTGAAAGTTTTTGTGCCTCATAAAAACTGCACTTCAAACTTACAACCAAATCTTTTTTCAGCAATTTATACGTTAAATTTCAAATAATTTGCAAAAGTATCCCTAAAAAATCAAGAATATCTTCACACACAACAAAATCTTTCACTGATTATTTTGGATGAGCAATTTTCACAAATATAAGAATCATATGCTCTTTTAGAGAATTCATTTTTTCAATTCAATATCGCATACAGATTCTTTGTTGCTTTCTAAAACAACTTTTTAGTACAAAAATTTCTTGGATTAGAAATTCTTTACTAAAAATCAGTTTTATAAAGTAGCAAAAAAATATCTCAAATAAAGTCTTAGATGGAATGAATTAATGTTCATGAAAGCTATCATTAGCGAAAAAAAACCCCAAACACAAACTGTCATAAAAAACTACTTCATAATAGAAAATTGATAGATTAAAAAAATATGAAAAATACAAAGAGATTTATATTCTTTACTCACATCTTAATCTGGTATAGATAATTCAAAAAATATTGCAGTCAAAATTAAGTTACATTTCCACCATCACCAATATATGTTATTAAAAAGAATACTAAACCGCTTACCTGAAGAACAATGAGCAAAACGGAAGGGGAGAATTAACGGATATAGTAGTTAGTTCAAGAGTTCTGATGGCCGAGGAGTATTAACAAAAGAAGCACTTTTATTAAAACCATGGAGCAATAAAATCCTCACAGCTTCTACTCCTCTTTGAAGAGTGAAGTCCATCTGCAGCCAAATTGTGTTAACTTTCCTCGTTAGATTATATCTGAGAAGACTAAAGTTTAGTACAGAAATCAGGAGGAAACCTCTTCTCTTTCTTTCTTGGTGAAGGGTTTTAGAACAAAAACAGCAGGGTCCATCTTTCCTGGTGGCCTTCCAATGCCTTCACAGGTTCCAACAAAAAAACAATCAGCTCCTTGGGAATCTTTCGATTGAAAAAGAAAATTAAAAGGGAACTTAAGATCCTACATTTGATCATAACTTCTGTTAAGCCCATTGACTAGAAAATTAAATGACAAAATTATGAATCTGATTATTATTGTTTAGAATGTGACTGATAAAATAATGAATATGATTAAATATTATTTGTTGACCACCGTATTTATGCCACAATCAATTCGAGTGAGTGCAAAGAGAATGGTGATTGATTAACGCGACATCGCACGTAGCAAGTTCGACATGCCTCAATCGCCATCAAAACCACCCAAACATCGTCCGTTTGAGAAGATTGCGTTGGTGTGTTTAGGATGTTGAATTTACCTGAAGACCACTAGCGTTCTACACGATCGAACAACAAAAATAAAGATCTATGTAAGCAACATTGCATGAAATAACCAAAATCTCGTCCATTCATGAAATAGATTTCACTAACGCATCTAAATTAATGAAATTACCTAGAGATGACACTCATATTGCATGGGTTCTCGTGCCAGTCAAAATGTAAAATTTGCTCATACGTGAGATGATGACACATTTTGATATGCAACCAAATTATTCATATCTTTTTGGTTTTTATAGATTATTAAATTAAATTATATATTATTTACACACACAAACAATTAACAAATTTCATCTAATCCTATCATATATGGATGTCGCATTAATCACTTAATTGGTAATTAAAAATATTTAAAATAATCATCTAAACCTCAGCCAAAATCAAAAGCCCGCTCCCCTTCTCTCAGCTTTGCACAACGAACTCACGCACGCATCTCCCATCCTAGGCTCACAACTCTGCTCCTCTCACCCCAATGCCCCCTATAACGCCCCAGCCACCTCAACCACCTGTAGCCGCATTACACTTCCTCCAACCTAACCCGACCAAATTGAGCCATCGACTAAGTCTACAGGCCACATGAACCTATGCCAACCCACACAAATGCACACCCAACTGTCGACTTACCCCCAGCCTAGGCTGATCTCCCACACCAAGTCCAATCACACTTCATCCGCCCTCTCGATTCAACCCAATCACCGCCTCCTCCATCTCCTCTCCCATCTTCCCAAGCCTCCAGGTTATCCCTCTTCACACAACACCTACAAATCAAGCCCATGCCACCATCGCGCTATCAAAATCCCCAACTAGCCTCTTTATCCCTCTTCTATCTCTTTCCTTCCCTCTTTTTGTTTCTCTCTCTCTACGCACGCATATATAGAAGAAAGAGGAAAAAGAGACAAAAAGAGTTAAATTTAAGAAAAAGAAAGCAAAAAAAATCAAAAGGAATGTGTTTTCCCCCGCCACAACCTCTCCATCATCATTATCATTGCCACCTCGAGCATAAAGATACAAACTCACAATCTAAAAATTAATCGTAAAATCTCGCTGGCGATGCATGCGGCGCAACGAGCAGAACTCGTATATACTTTTCTAAATGCAGCGGGAAAACTTGTACAAGGCGGGAATGGGTAAGCCCTATAACATTTTTCTTAGCATTCCAAAAAAATTTTATGTGTCTATACTCATCTTTCTTAACAACAACAACAACAGCAAACCTTTATCCCACTACGTGCAGCCGACTACATAAATTTTTTTCTCCATTGTATTCAGTTAAGAGTCAAATTCTCATTTAAATCTAATAAAGAAATGTCATTTCTAATATTTTCTAACCAAATCTTTTTATGTCTACCTTTAAACTTCTTAACATAGGCCAAATTTAATACATCTACTCTCCTAATAGGTTCATCGGAAGGTCATCGATTTACATGACCAAACCATGTAAGGAGACTCTCTAATCTTATTTGTCACTAGAGCTACTCCAACCTTTTCACGAATATGCTCGTTTCGAATTCTGTCTCTAAGAGTAAATCCGCCAATCCACCTGAGCATCTTCATCTCAGCAACACTTAACTTAATATTATGCTTCTCTTTTAATGGCCAACATTCTGCGCCATAAAGCATAGCAGGTCTCACCACCATCTTATAAAATTTTCCCTTAACTTTGAGTGATACTTCTCTATCACAAAACAAACTCAAAGCATTCCTCCACTTCAACCATCCAACTTGAATTCTACTAATAATATCCCTATCTATTTCACCATCACACTGAACAATAGACCTAAGATATCTAAAACGAGTATACTTATTAATGACTTGATCGCTCAAAATCACAAACCCCCACCAGATCTATTACTACTAAAATTACACTCTATGTAATTAGTTATAGATCTACTCAAACGAAAACCTTTATACTCTAAAGTTGACCTCCATAATTCGAGTTTACTTTCAACTCCCTCTCTAGTCTTATCAACAAGAAGAATATCATTAGCAAAAAGCATACAATAGGGTACATCCTCTTGCAAATGTCTAATAAGAACATCCATGACTAAAGCAAAAAAGATAAGAGCTTAAAGTTGATCCTTGATGTAATCTAACTAAAATAGGAAAATACTTAATCAAACCACCTTGTGTTTGAACACAAGTAACAACTTCCGCATACATATCCCTAATGACTTGAATATTAGCATCATTAACTACTTTTTTCTAGAACTCTCCACATCACTTCTCTTGGAACTTTATCATATGTTTTATCTAAATCAATAAATATCATATGTAGATCCTCCTTATTCTCTCTAAACTTCTTTATAAACCCTCTCAATAAATGAATACCTTCCATAGTAGACCTACCCGAAATGAATCCAAATTGATTTTGAGAAACTTTAGTATCACATCCTAACCTATGCTCCATAACTCTCTCCCCCAAAGTTTTAAAGTATAACACATCAATTTAATTCCTCTTTAATTCGCACAATCTTGTGCATCATCTTTATTCTTAAAAATAAGAATAAACACACTCATTCTACACTCATCTGGCATTTTTTAGTCTTCAAAGTAATATTAAAAAGATTAGTAAGCCAAGAAATTCATTCATCTCCTAAGCATCTCCACACCTCTATTGGAATATCATTAGGTCTAATAGTTTTTTCATACTTCATTTTCTTTAAAACCTCTCTAACTTTAGTTTTACTAATATGCCGATAAAAATAAAAATCTCTATTTTCATTTAGAACGCTAAGGTAACTAAAGTCAATCGTACTCTCACATTCTTCATTAAAAAGTTTAGCAAAATATCTCACTACAGGAAAATAGCCGATTTCCAGCGGTCATGTCCGGCAATTACCGGACCGTCGGTACTCGGTTTAGACGGCGGTTACACCGCCGGCTATTACCGGCGGGCTAACAAGGGGGGTTCGCAACATAAGGCCGCCGGTAATAGCGACGGTCATCAAACCGCCGGATGTCAACATGACCGGCGGTTTATCCCGCCGTTGATAAGTGATCCCATTACCAGCGGTCGTGACCGCCGGAAGGCCGCCGGTAATTGCCCTAAAATTAACAGGCCCGAGCCTCGCATTTCATTTCTATTCTTTTCCTTCTCTCGCTTCGGACGACCTCTGCCGTCGCCTCCGCCCGCGTCTCGCTCGCGATCGACCTCGCTGTCCTGCCGCCGACGACCTCTCTCCAAACGGCGACGAACTAGCTCCAACCGCCGACCCCACACCGTCTGCCTCTCGCTCGATCGAGCTCTGCTGTCTTGCCGCCGTCGATCTCACACCGACTGCCCTAGTTTTCGTGTGAGTTGAAGAAAAACCGGGATTTGAAGGTAATCTTTAATGTTTTTTTGTGATTATTTGTTCTCACTAGACATTCGCAAGAGTTTGTAATTTATTGTATGATTTAGGTTATAATCTAGACATACGCAAGAGGTAATGTTGTAATCGTTTGAAAGAGGGAGAGAGATATAGAGAGAGAGCGAGAGCTTGAAAGAGGGAGAGAGATATAGAGAGAGAAAGAGAGCAAGCAAGTGTTAGAGAGAGTGAGAGAGAGAGAAAAGAGAGAGAGAGAGCGAAAAGAGAGAGATAGGGAAAAGAGAGAGGGAGAGAGAAAAGAGAGAGAGAGAGGGAGATAGAGAGCGAAAAGAGAGAGGGAGAGAGAAAAGAAAGAGATAGAGGGAGAGAGAAAGAGGGAGAGAGAGCGAGAGCAAGAGAGATAGATAGATAGATAGATAGAGAGCAAGAGAGAGCTAGAAAGAGGGATAGAGATATAGAGAGAGAAAGAGAGCAAGCGTTGTAGAGATGAGGATGCTCAGGTGGATGAGTGAGTTCACTCATAGGAATAGAATGCGAAACGAGAATATATGTTAAAAGTTTGGAGTTGCTCCGACGGTACATAAGATTAGAAAGAGTTGCCTTAGATGATTTTGTCGCATAAAACATCAACCTTTCTGATGTCCCAGTTAGAATAGCATATATGTTAGATTTGATACATGTTAAGAAAGTTATAGGCATCAATAAAAAGACTTGATTATAAAATATTAAAAATGAACTTTTCTTTAGATGTAAACGAGAATCTTACTCTTAACAGTACACAATGAAGAAAAAGAATTCATGTAGCTAACCCCACGTAGTGGGATAAAGAATTGATGTTGTTGTTGTTGATAGTTGATGTAGATGGTTAGTTTGTGTTGATGATTATCTTGTAGCCAAAACTTGGGTTTGATTATAAGTTGTAAATAATTCATTGATATCTATTTTGAATGTGACAGAAAAAAGAATATTAAGATAGATGCGTGAATAAAGCTTAAGAATCATACATCAAAGAAAGCTTAAGAATCATACATCTAGAACAAGTCTCAGGTAGCATGATACAGCCTTGAGGAGCATGTTATTGCCTTGAGAAGAGTATCGTTGCCTCACAAAATATAACCACAGCACCAAAAACCTTGTGGTTGTACAATTACTCCAAAAAGTGTGTTATTATTTTTAAAAAATTATATAAATAATGTATATTGAAAAGTTTGTGAACATACAATGCAGCTGCACCGAAATGCATGCAAGTACATTGAAAGCATGTGAATATACTAGGCAAATGCCCCGAAAAGCATG